AGGGCCATACCAGCCGTAGTACAGCACGTGAGGCTAGCTGCCAGAGACCGGTGCCCAGCCGCTGGTAGAGAGGGCATGTAGCCATCCACGACTTCAGACAGAGCCTCTGATGTGACTATAGACCCCTCATTAGCCCTAACCCAATCGAGGGCATCCTTCGCCGTGATATCCACAACTGGTACCACCTACAGTGACAACAGCCTACGTCGAAGAACTACGACCAGAAACTACCCCTTCGAGAGCAGCCGTGCTATCCGCCTCAATTCGTCGCTTGCTCTCAGTTTCCACTGCCTCCCATATCATCATAACATCAATATCATCCTCTGAGATGACCTCCTCCCCTGCCGTAGCCATCTCCTCATTAGCCTATTAAACCTAATCCCGTACCACACCAATCACAACAGCTCACCTCCAAGTCGCCCTTGTCTTCTCCCACACCAGACCTACTACAACCACTGATTTACCGCAGCCCCAATGGCTCACCGGTAATTGCCCACCACGACGCCTCGCAACGCTCCGCTCGCCTGCAGGAAGACAGCCCTGGTCCATATAGTCATCGTCGACCCAATATGAACTACTACCTCCTCCACCTTATGAATAGATCCCCCCTCAGAATCACTCTCCTCTGATCCAGTGGTCTCATCCATTGCTGTCGCCTCATCGTCGGCCAACTCCCAGGCATCCTCGAACTCATCATGACCTCCTCCTCCTTCCACAGTAGCCTCCAGCCACTCATCTGTCTCGGACACAGCCTCGAGAGTACCTCACAAGGCGTCAAATCGGCTTCTCATGACACCACCCCTACCACCCAGCCCAGCCAAATCCTGCTCCAACCTTCCCTCAGCATCATCGGCCTCTATGAGAACCTACCATGAACTCATGAGATTCCGCTGGCGACTGCTCCAGTACCTCCTGCGCCTCCCCACCATCACTACCGACTTCAACTGTCAGCCCACCCTAGAGAATATAGACCAGGTACTGACCACAGGCGACCCATTGTACCTCTCTTTCTTCCGCGTATTCGTCAACATACTCCGTGGGGAAATACCCAGCAGTCGCCTCCCCAGTCGTTTCTTACCAATGATTCACAACAGACCGACAACACACCCAAGAACCTACCCATGCTGCTATCACCACCACGTGTCACCACCCTGCCATAGGACCATCCCATCTGATCACCCATCAGGACCTAAGCACACACCATCCTCCCCTAAGCCTAGCCTTCCACCAACCTCTATAATATCCCCACTTTGAAAATGCAGCGACGGGCTGTCCCCACAGGGCCAGGACGACCTCGAGGGCGGATCGAACCCAAAGGCTGCCCTCAC